TCTCGGAGAAACCCAGGACTAGAGAGGATGCAATCATCTATAGTCTACAAAGGTTAACAGTACCTGTCTCTCTGTCTCCCTCTGTGTGCGTCTTTCATATGATTATTAATAATATTAGTATTTTTATTTTATGCCTATCGGTTTTTTGTCTGGATGTATGGTTGTGCACCACATGCATGCCTGGTGATGACCGAGGTCATAAATGGACATCTGATGCCCTAAAACTGGGGTTCACGGATGATTGTGAAACACTATGTGGATACTGGGAACTGAACCAGAGTCTTCTGCAACAGCAGTAAGGGCTCTTAACTGTAGATTCATCTCTCTAGCCCCTATTAATAGTACTTTCAAACAAAATTAATTATGCTTGCAAAATGTAATTTCAAAGTTGCTTTAAGATTTATGTGAGGAGTTTTTCTATGTGCCTAAGTGTGTCTGTGTGAGTGTATGATTGTGCATGTGTGTGTGTGTGTGTGTGTGTGTGTGTGTGTGTGTGTGTGTGTGTATTGGGTGTGGGTGTCTTGGGTGTAGGTGTGTGGGTGTGTGGGTGTGGAGGGGGTTGTAAAGATCAGGATGTTTTCGTCTACCACTCTTGACTTTATTTTGTGAAACAGAGAATCTCACTGAACCTGGAACCACTATTTATCAAGAATAGCCCCTAAAAATACTATTTTAAAACTTGATTTAATGTCCTTTAAGCATGTTGCCTTAAGGACCTTGTATATGATTAACCATTTTTTCACACACAAAAAAAACCTTGTTACTGGGGAAAGGCTTCGATGGTTCGTGGCAACTCCCAATTTTCTATGAAAGCATCTGTCCACACTTAATTCTCCCCTCAACACCCAGTCACGTGCCCCCAGCTTTACCCGTCAGTGTCTGAAAAAACTGCTTGATTCCTTCCTTCACTTCTATCATTCCACAGTTCTCTCCATTTTCTTAGCGCACGTTCTCATGTCTCAACTAAGCAGAACCCTTCATTTCGCTGCCCTTACCTATCCTTTGGTGGCTGGAATAACTTTTCTACAGATACCCAATTTATTTGTTCAAAAGCACAGGAGCTTTTTGTTGTGCTCCTACTAAGACAACCTTTACGGCTGTTCAATATTCCACAATAAACCCGTTAATACGAATCCATTTCCATTCTCCTCAGATGGATTCACGCTTTCTGCACACTTCCAGGGCAGTGGTCCTTTCTCCTGACCCTGCATTCAAGCGTCCTCTCTGTTCTACTTTGAATGTTTCTCTTTGACACATTTACCTGCCTGATTTGTTTCTTACCTTCCTGAGGATCGTAAAGGAACTTCTCAAGGACAGCCTATGGAACTTTCGTAACCCTTTTGGCAACACTATTTGAAAACAAGTGAAAGAAGCCTAGTCTTTAGGAAAAGGGTATTGCTGAAGCAGGTAAGGCAGGGCACTTTCTAATGGAATACATACACAGCACTCCAAGTTCCATCTTAAGTATTTTACTAATATTCACTCATTTAAACTTTGCAGCAGTTTGTGGGCTAGGTAGGATGCTCCCTCTGCTTAAAAGAGAGGGAGATTCGTATGTAGAGAGCTACAGCAACTTAATCAAGGTCATACATAGGCAAGGATTCAAAACTGGACCATGTAACTCCCAGCGTTATTCTCTTGATGACTTCAAAACTGTGTAGTTCTTCTTGAATGAGGGTCTAGGATGTATATGGATCCAGGGAGCTTCTGACTGGTGAGGTTATTGAAGATTGGTTGCCGAGGTATTAGGCGTATTAGTCATTAAATATGTGGAAGTTGAGTACAGTAGTCAGGAGTTTCCGTTGACCTGCAGAGTTTGCAAGAGTCACAGAGGTTTATGATCTCTTCACTCACATGATACAAAACCCAGAACACCCTGTTCCCGCTGAGCTTAGTTGCTCCCCATGTGGAGGAGATAGCCAGTCCTCGTTAAGCTTTATGAAGCTGCATGTTAAATGGGAGCCAGGTTGCTTGGAGACCAGGTATCCTTATATCTTCCCGTTGCCCAGGACATTTCCTGGGGCAGAGCTCAGAAGTTGAAAGTCCACAGCTTGAGGGTGACTTTCTCTCTTTCTGTGAAAATTGATTGAGAAGTCGTCAAGCAGGTTCTAAATATACATATATAGGCTGTACATAAATCATGACTCTTTTAGCTTTGTTTCTGTTCTGAGATGTGTTACTTCACAATGTGAGTGTGTGGATTGGTAGTTAAGAAACTAAGTCTGGGGGTCAGAATCAGAATTTGATGCAAGCTGAGTTCAATGTACTAAATAATTATTATTTTACAAATCTAAGCTAATCATTCTATTCATGTTCCAACTCTGTTCTTTTTACCTGATTATAAAATTATTATATGTCTTTCTTTTTTTTAAAAAAAAGACGTTATTCAAGAATCACAGGGAAGCAGTATGGGAGGATACATGGAAACTATTTTCTAACAAAACTATACCTACTATCAGGGGATTCTTTTCTGTCATTGTTAATTTGTATCCAAGCAAGTATTTATCACACATCTGTGAATAAAAACTTTAACAATTATATTATTTCACAAATTTGGTTTTGGTATTGCTATTTATCTGAGAACTAATTATTGATGAAAAATTCAATCCACTTAAAGAGTACTAAGTCATATACTTTCTATTAGATATGTAAATCTCATAATTTAACATATAATTTTATATTTCTGAAGGGTTGTATAATTTAGTAAATAAAACAACCAATCTTTGGCATGAAAAACGTTTCACCCTTAAGTAAGAGAAATTGCCATCTCTTTAAATAAAGGGCTTCATGTACTATTCTTGTTATGTTGGTGAGTAGTGTATGGACATTATAAATTATGCAGAGATTGCTCTGTCTTTTTATTTTAAACACATGCAGGAGTCAGCCAATTAAGCTGCATGTTGCCAAGACTCATTTACGATTCCTACCTATAGATTCAATTCTTTCTTCCTTTTCATCCAAGGAACTTTTTATCCTCTATCACCAAAATAAATCAAAGCAAGAAAATCTCTCTGAACAAACACCTAAAAATCTTTTATATAATTTCCCATTAAATTTTTATAGCCAAGAAACTCAATAATTCAAACTTGAAAAAATAGACACAAAGAGAAGAGCTGGAAAAATGAGAAAAATGATGATGGTTAAGGATAGTTGCTTTGTTCTTGGAACTTCTACAAGCCTTCACTATTACATTTGTAAATATGTTACACATACAAGAGAAATTTTTCATAAAGGATAACTGTCTCTTAATAGAAACAGAAACACTCAAACAGTATCAGGAATGGATGAACACAATAGTAAAGGTTTTCCTGATGCAGGTTTGAAGAACACAGCATCACAAAGGAGAGTTCCTTTTTTTGTTGAGTCTCTTTCCATAATTAAGTTTAGAAAGTGTCTCAGTGCATAATGTGACCAGTTATTTCAGAGATGTGCAGATTACCGAATTTAGCTATATGAAAGATTTGCATTATTATTTATTTACTTAGTTTTAGTGAATGAAAGGCTAAAGTCATGGAAAGATATCTCAAGAAAGTAATGTGTATTTATTTATTTGTTTTTGTGTTGTAGGGAATGAAACTGAGGGCCTAATGTAAGCTGGACAAGCAGTGAACTATAACACCTAAACACAGGAGTTAAGTTTCACCTATTTGTCTTCATTTTAGGACTCATTTTATGTGTATGAGTAATTGTTGGCACCTATGTATGTGCACCAAGTGCATGCCTGCTGTCCAGAAACAAGAAATGTGTATCAGAGTCTCTGGAACTGAAGTTAACGATGATTTTGAGTTGCCATGTGAGTGCTGGGGATAAAACCCTGGTCTTCTGCATAGGTAGCAAGTGCTCTTAAATTAATTTCTAACACGTTTGAGTTAAAAGAAATAAATCAATAAATTTTCCTTCATTGGATGGTATTGATGATGACTAAAACTATGACACAGTGTAGAGTGAAGCTTCTGTCCTCCCCAGGCCTAAAGAAACACCCAGAGGCTTATTTTAATCATAAATGGTTTGGCCTATTGCTCAGGCTTATTAGTAACTAGCTCTTATGACTTAAATTTACTCACAATTCTTATCTATGTTTAGCCACGTGGCTTGGTACCTTTCCTCAGTAAGGCATTCTCATCTTCCTTCCTTGTGACTATGTCTCTGCCCTTCCTCTTCCCAGAATTCTTAGTCTGCTTGCTCCACGTATACTTTCTGCCTGAAAGTGTACAAAAGCATTATCCACAACATTCAGCTATTATCGTTATGTGTATATATGTGTGTGTATATATATGTATATGTAGATATGTATAATTATGTACATGAACACACATATAAATGCCCAAACATATGCATATAATCTGCTGAGTCCATTTGATGTTGCTTTTGTATATGTTTTCAGGTCTAAAATCTTGTTATTGGATAGTCAAGTAGGCAGGTGGCATATCCCTGGGGAACATTATTTTTCCCACTCCAATTGTGATATTAAACATCTTTTGATCATTGTCAAGTACATTATACACATTATCACATTTCATCCTTACAACAACTTCATTAACATGAAACTTTCAGTTTTCTTACTTTACATATAGGGAGATGGTGACATTAAAACTATTCAAGTATTAGAGTTCTTTAGGTTGAATGTAAGGCTTTGCTTCCTAAAAAGATACAGCAGAGCATTACAGGGTGCACAGCAGTGCATAGACTGAGTTTGTAAAGACTTTGCTAATTAATGACTGTCAATCTTCTCTTACTGAGTTACCCATTTCATTGTTTGAGTATATGTGCTGCAAACTCTGAGGCTGACGGTGAAATCCTTTGTGATAATACAAATGTGATAGCAGGCATGTGGTGGTTATTGGTCACTGGCTTTGGATTTGGGCTTTCTGATCAAACACAAAGGTCACAATTTCTACACTTTGCTTTAGACAAAAGACTGAAAGGCGATTTAGGCCACAATCTTTAAGATGACAATGTCATTTGTTTTCTTTAAATGTTTACATAACTTCTATCAACAGCTCCCGACCCGACCATTGTTGCACACAGTGACAAATCCCAACTCATATTATAGAAGCCTAGCTTTGAGTCCATCTACAATGTAAGTCAATATGGAAATCTTTTAAAAAACTAAAAACAAACTAATGCATAACCTATTTATACCACTCCTGCATATGTAACCAAAGGGCACTAAGTCACCATAACACACTTTAAAATCTGTCTTTATTTTAGAACTTGTCACAAACGTGTGATGGAATTGATCTCAGTGCCTATCAATAGATGAATTTGTATAGAAAGTGATATATAAACATACGTTAACATCAGATATATGTATGTGTATATGTATATCACATATATTATATAGACATAAATTAATATCAGATATATGTATGTGGGTATGATATATATATATATATACATATATATATGTTTATTGTACAATTGTATTTTATTCAGCCATAAAGTACAAGTACACCATTTTCAGTGGATGCAACTGTAGATCGCTGTGTAAAACAAATTATCTCAGACACAAGATGAAAAATAATCTTTTGTCACAGTTTTGGATCCTATGTATGCACATGCAGTATGTATGCATGTGTATATAAAAAATGAATGTAGAAATAAAGGTTTAAGCTTTTCTGGAAGAAGTAAAAAACTACTGTTAAGGGGTGGGAAAGAAGGTTGTGGGATGAAGGTGGCCAAAATGCATGATGCAAATGTATGAAAATTACTTTATAAAATTATTCACTAGTTACCATAATTTTATGAATCAATAAGTTAAGACAAAACTAAAAGAGTGTGAGAAAATTTATCATGGTTGCAGATTCAATACAGAAAGCTATAGTTTGGCTTCAGAATTATTCAATCTTTCAGAATTTCATACATGCATACCATGTAGTTTTATCACATTGGAGAGAACTGCTGTGAAACAATGTCTCCTGGGCCCTTGAGAGTCACTGGCCCTGTGAACTCACCAGATGCCATTTCTGAGGTTCAGTTGGCAAAGTAACACCAAAAGGCTCTTCCCTAATAGTTACACTGCTTCATTCTATTCCTATGAAATAGCGAATATAAACCAAGGGCTGACATTTTCATGAATGATCTTATCTTTGCCTCCAATTGACCCAAGATCCTGACAACTGCAGCATTTAATTGTTGCAGCAATACCCATAGAGAGGACTTGATTATGTCAAAGTTTCTTAAGCTGTGTGGTTCCTCATAAAGTATGATCTATTTCTCCGTAGAGGGCTTTATTTATATTGTCTATAGTTTCTTGTCTATGTTCCAACTTTTGTATTTGTGTGGATGTGTATAGTTTAGTTTATTTGTTATTTATATTCCTTTCATTTTTGTATGTGTGTAAAATGCTCTTGCATGAGTGCTCATGTGTGTACAAGTGCATGTGCAAATTCATAGGGATGCCAGAGGATAATATCAACATCCTTTTTCAAGAACCATCCATTTTCTTTTTGAGACAGTGTTTTTTATTGGCCATGTGAATAGCCTGGGCTGGCTGGCCACTGGACTCCAGAGATTCAGATGTCTTTGTTTTGTAGGTAGTTGCTTGTTCATTTCCCTGCTGCCCAGATTCCCGAAATAACCACACAGAAACCATATTATTTAAATCACTGCTTGGTGAATTACTTAAACACATTTCCAGCTAATTTATATATCCTGAACTAACCCATCTCCATTAATCTGTGCATTGCCACATGGCTGTAGCTTACCAACAAAATTTCACCATGTCTGTCTCTGGCAGGGGCTCCATGGCTTCTCCTTAATCCCATCTTCTTTCTCCAAGCATTCAGTTTTGTTTTCCCTGCCTAGCTATACTCTACCTTATCACAGACCTGAAACAGCTTATTTATTAACCAATGGTATTCATAGCATACAGTGGAGAATCCCACATCACCTTCCTTTCTCTTTTTAATGATAAAGTAAGGCCTTAACTTTAACACAGCCAAATTACATATAACAAAACAGGTATCAAGAAAGAATTACAGTTACAATATTTATATATACTTTATTTTTATTATAACTAAGGAAAACTATAACTATAATTATATATGCTTCAACTCCAGAGGAATATAATATTACCTAAGTAAACAGGAAGTACATTGTAAGTGATTTCCAAAACTCTAAAATTGACAGAGATATTTCACTGCCTGGACCCAAAGTTCTTCTGTACCATTGGGATATTCATCTTCAGCCTACAAGCCTATAGTATCCATATTTTTCCATGAAGCAGGAAATTTCAAGGACAGTTCCACCTATATTGGCAGTTTTTCAGTCACTTTTTTCTGTGTCCTGCAGAATGTCTAGCAGACTCTTTCATGAAGCAGGAACCTCAAAGGACCATCTGACATTTAGGCAAGTTCAGCAGTCATTTCTCTGTGGGTTCTGCGTGTTCAGTTCATACAGCATAACATCAAGCAGTTCAGGCAAGAGCAGCTTCTTTCCAAAATGGCTAACCAACTCTATAAGGAGTCTTTTCGATGCCCATCATTCTCTTGAATTAATTGGTGCTGCCAGGAGCAGATGTGTCTCATTGTCATGAAAAGTCCTAAGCTCTTAAACATTTTAAATGCTATATTCTGAAGGTCTTTGAAAGATTTGAAGAATTCCCATCTAACTGAAATAGATCTCTACATATTTAGAAAGTCTAACTAACACGACAAAAAAGCTTGACTATTATAGATGATTATCTATTAACCTATATTTCTTCATTATACATTACATTTTAGATAAGCTGCACAAATACAATACCTTAATCAAGAGCAGATATATATATATCCAAATACACACACACACACACACACACACACACATATATATATATACATATACACATATAACAAAATTGACCTTAAATTTGTATCAATAGACCAAGATCCTTACCAATGCAAAGTATTCATCTTTATATCATCTCTCCTTCTTCAGAATGGAGATTTCCAGCTTATTATCACATCAAGCATTTTAAAACACGGTTTTGGAGATCAAAACTCAGATCCTCACATTTGCAAGGTAAGCTTTTCACTCACTAAGTCACATCTCTGGTCCCTCTATGTGTAAATTAAATGATATATTTCCCATTCCTTTTACTGTTACACAAAGTTTTTAAGGGTAGAATTTACTGTTTGGATGTATAGGTTCTTACACTTGTTATGTCATAGCTCTATATAAGTAAGCTCTCAGAACTTGCAGAATACATAAAAATTAGAATTATTACTGATTTTTGTTAACAACTTAGATTTCATTATTAGAGCCAACTGTTATTTCAAATTTTTGAAAGTCTTATTCTTGCAAAGGTAGTTTAAATTTGTATTTGTCCCACAGGTCTTGTTTTTATGAATTCATTTCTAATGGTCCCACAGTAATGGTTGCTTAGAAGGAGCATGGCAAGAATCCCTATTATATAAAAATATTGCTTGTGAGCTTGGTTTGATTTGTTTATAGTCAGTGCATCTTTATTGCAGTAGGTTAATATTTTGTTGTCAATTTCTAAGGATATTTTTTTGCAATGTGACATGAGACTTCTGGAGAGTAGATAAGTCGACTGGGATGCTGTTCTGACAACATGTGACTAAGGCTCTGTACCAGTAGTGTGGGGTCATTTTCCATGCCATCCAGCAGAAACGATTTCCAGTATGACAAGCTTCATGTGATCTCAAGGTCTTTCCTCACACAGAACAGCAAAGTAACCTTGTAAAACAAAGATGCCTATAAAATAAGCACATATTTTCTTCCTATGGTGACATCATTTTCACATGCATCTTCATCACTCGGACGCCACTAACATTATTTTCATGCTTCCTCACATTATCCGTAGCTTCGCACATCTACAAAGTCAACATTTAAATTCGGATAAGGGAAAGAGTGGGCTTGTTTGTGGCTCTTTCAATGTCTGGCGAAGGAACAAAAGAGCTTTAGGCTGAGCAGATCATAGTTACTGATAATGTATCCCATTTTTCTACTGAGGTAAGGCACGTAGAATGAAGCTTCATTTAAAGATTTTACTCATAAGGGAACAGAGAATACTCAGCCCTGGCATCAGTAAATTTCAGAGTTAATAAGGAAAGGTGCTTCGCAACACACCTTGCTAAATGTCTTCTCTAGGAAAGGTCTATAGAGCTTTAAGATAGTTGTTAAGGTTAGTACATTAATGAAAACTGGTAGCTGAATTGCTAATATACGCTGTGAGTGATTATTGGTTATTTTATTACTGAGATCTCCTTATCAGGTTTGAAACTTGCTGAGTTTGAACAAATTAATGAATTGCCCATGTACCAGTGGATCATGTCACACACATGCTCATATGGACAGCGTTAACTGGATTTAGTGGATTATGAAGATGTGAAGTTGGGAGGGAGACAAATGTTATTTTGAGAGAAAACTGGGGGGAGTGGGAAGGGGTAAGTGAATGTGGCTAAACTGTATTGTTTATATCTATTAAATTAAAAAGATTCATTGAATGAAGACAGAGCTCACTCTGATGCCTGAACAACACACACACACACACACACACACACACACACACACACACGGCATCTAAGAGATGAAAAACAACCATTGTGATAATCACCTATTTTCTGAATTATTCAGATTTAAAGTTTACTAAGTTTCTCAGATTTGTAGTTTTGGTTTTGAAGCCAGCACTATTGTCCACAACTTGATTCTGAAAATGTCTTGACAGATACTTCCTTTAGCCTGAACAAATTCTCCATATCTGAAGGTCACAACAGGTAGAATTCTTTAGGAAAGCCACCTATATGCAAGGATAAAGACGTTCACTTGACTGTAGGTCTTCAGGAAGGAAATGGAATTTAGTACTGATGTTCTTTCTCCCAATTTCAAGAAATGAAATAACAATTTTCTTTGAGAAAAGGATGTAGATATCAGGAGAGATGTTCCAGTGGGTATGTGTGTATAACCCTCTTGGCGAGGGAAGATTAGAAATCTTTTTACAGTGTCTGCCTCGGGTACCTACAACCCTCTGTAACTCCAACTCCAGAAGATGTGGTGTCCTCTTTTGGCCTCCATGTACACATGTGCCTCATATACACACATAGAAACACACATTTGTGTTTTTTTAAAATGTCTTTTTAAAGAAGAGTTTTATAGCAAAAAAAAGAATTTTCTCCGTCATTGGCAAACAGATGTGTTTTATCTATACATTTATAATAAATGAATTTTAAATGCCATGAAAACAGAGGTCCATTAATTCCTTGATGTCATCAGATATTTAAAATGGTAATGTCTCTAAATAATTCCAAGGTTCACCTGGAAAGCTGTATCATGGGCTTTGCCTGTTTGATTGAGTCACTTTCTGCAGCTGATAGTGTCCTTCCAATGTGTGAATCCATCATGCAACATGTGTTAGGTTACTTTCTCAATGTTTCTGGACAGCCTGTTCTGATTTCAGAACAGCACAGTGTTGCTTTGAACGACCAGTCTCTCTCCATGTTCATGTTCCTCTTGTGTTGCTTCAGGTGACATTCTATCCCTGGGGATTACATCACAGGTATGTGACTATGATATAGATATATCAATCTGTCAAGGTTTACCTCAGCAGTATTCAGCGACAGCTCTGTTTACTATAACAAATAAAATTTCATTTTTAACATGGTAAGGGGATGGTTTTAGTACAAACAAGTCCTTATCTGACGGGTTTTATTCTTCCAACCCATCTCTTTTAAAAAATCCCCAGAAAATGAACTTCCTCCATATCTTGCCTCCCCCTTTCTTTCTCTTTTCTCCTCTCCCCTACACTCTCCTGTGCTCTCTCCTCTCTAGAAAAAAAATCACTTTCTCTTCAATGTCTCCTTTCTTTAGGCTGTCAAATAGATACAGTAATATACCGAAAATTAAGGCTACTTACTGGCCTCTAACTTGGTCTGTTTTCTATATATATATTTCTTTTAGTATTAGAATCAAAAGACTTGTACCAGTTGCAGGGCTGTTTCTAGGTTCTATGTCAACAAATATAGTATCAACAAATCTCCTCAAGAAACTCTATTTGGGTGTCAGAGATTAAAAACTAGATAGCCCCCATCAAACAGCTAGAATTGGACATTAATTATAATTAACATTTTACAGGAAAACTCATGTTGCTCTCTGGATACTTGTCATTCTATGTATTGTGATATTTCTAATAAATCTGCAAAAAAATACTTATTTTCTTATTTATTTTAATTAATTAATTATTTTTAAAAGCCCCAATCTATTTTCATTTTACATACCAATCCCTGGTCCTACTGCTTCCCCTCCTCCCATTTCCTCCATCTCCTCTCAACTCCACCCCCTACTCACTCCTCAGAGAGGGTAATGCTTCCAATGGGGAGTCAACAAAGTCTAGCACATCTTTAAAGCAGGACCAAGGCCCTCCCCTCTATATCTAGGCTGAGCAAGGTATCCCTCCAAAGAGAATGGGTTCCAAAAACTTATTTTCTTATCCTTTAAGATTATTATGTTAAATTATTCCAAATCTATGTCAAAGACCCAGAAGTATTTATCCTTTTAACTTTAAGGCTGTGTAGATTAGACATCAGGAACTAAAGAGTATAGACTGAGGGGCCTATTCTGCTAAAAAGCATTTTATTGAAAAAAAATACTTATTCATGCATATTGTCAGTTGCTGTTGTGAGCTCCAACGCTGTGATCAAATAGTTCTGTCAGAGGTCACATGCAGCCCATGAAACCTAAAATATTTACTGGGCTCTCTTTTTAGAATAAGCGTTCAACAATGTCTGATATAGAAAATTAGCTTCTATTGATTTAACTGAATGTGAAAATATTTATTCAACAAATATTAGCAAGAATTTCCAAAGTTTCAGACACGGGAGACAGGCAAATATTTTTCTAATAAATCCAACAGTCAAGTTAAGACTGGCAAAAACATCAAGCACATTAGCTTATAGTTTTTGAAGAAAACCCTTAAATATTTCAACAATTCTTTTCAGGGAGGCATCGCAGAGATTTTTTTTTCCAATTCAGCTTACACATGAGACTTCACAACGCTGTAGTCTCTTTGAACTCTCAGATGTCCGTGTGAGTGTAAACAGCAGAATCAAAATAAGAATTTCTCCCCTCTTTGACAAAGACAAAGCAATAAGCTTATTTTTGAAAAACCGACAACCCCAAAATCCATATTTGTTTCCATAAGGCAAAAATTAATTTGGTGTTTTAGCATTACTGTTTCAATGCTGAACAGCTGTACAGATCGTTGCAATGTTTTTTGTTTTTTTTTATTAAATCATAGGGATGTGAGAGTCAGGATATGTCTGGATTGGTTTTTTTTTATGAACAGTAAAATTATCTGTTAAATCCAATACAAGCCAGGTGATGGAAGTATTGCTGACTCTGTCCTTCATACAGCAATATCAATGCTTCCCATTCCGAGGGGCTCACAACTGTACGATAGGTCTCTTACTCACAAAAACAAACAGGCTGGAATGTAGTGCACACTAATAGTGTTAGTTTTTATGAACCAAGAATGGATGATTTGTGTTATGAAAGTATTAGCACACACGTAATTTCATGGGTAGCTCTTTTCAGTAGAAAACTAAGCTTGCAAAGATGTGAAACGTCCAGCCAAATCTTCCCCTGCTAGAGCACACATGAAGAAAAGCTTTAGTATGCACAGAAAAGATCATTAATCAGTTTAGTCATAACATGTCCCTTCTCTCCATTGCTTCATTTGAGAAGATGACATGAAGAATAATTACCACCGGTCATGCAGATTTCAGTACCCTTATAGAAGAAAGGCTTGTTAACATCGAGTCTCAAATACAAAGAAGCATTTGTAAAAGTTTGTGTCTGATGTTGAAAAGCAGGGAATGACTTTCTCAAACTCCTTAAAACATATTCAGCTATACAAATGAAGTGCAACAAGATAAAACTAGTACTAATGGAGTCTGTTCCTAAATCTATGAAAGCTGTCCAACAACAATATCATTCTCTAGTCCTAAGAGATGAAATGAAAACAATCACTAAGAACTTGGATCTTCATTTGAGTTCCTACCATT